ATTCAGATCAGATAAACCTATAGTGAACAAAAGTACAAAAATCATAAAGTTCTCTGTTTCTCACAAGTTCCTTATGGAGACGACTGCCGTTTGCGAGCAAATGTCCTACCCCAAGCCTTACATTGAACATAATTGGTATCTCTTCATTGTCAATGTCATCTACCGTTGTTCCGTGGCTTGCAACCCATTGGTTCATGTTCTTGTTTTTGTCACTGTCAACTCTCCACAATCCAGCTGTGTTAGGTGGTACTCGCAAACCATTCTGTTCTTCGAGATACCCTCTATTTCGAAAGAGAACTCTCCACTGTTCGACAGTGAGCCAGTTATCCACGGGTTCAGCTATTACTTCATTGATTGCTAAATGAAAGTAGATTAAAACAGATTAATACAAGACTATCACCAAAACAAAGATAACACTAGAACATCACCCATCTGATACAACGAAATCAACTTGTATTATTTCAGCAGAAGTCTTCTATGTCATCTGGTCAGATTGGATATAATCAAGAGGACAAGCCTCACAAATCAACAAGTAGAAAGATCCCACCCCAGATAATCCTAAGTTAACCCCATACTTTCAACAAAAGATGCCTAGTCAAAGTTTACATCCGTTGACTATAACAAAAAATCAAGACAACCATACGTCAAAAACTCTTTACACCAACTCACACTACAACTAATTTCAGCAGAAGTTATTAGCCATATTATCTGATCTGATACAACAAAATCACCTTGTATTATTTAGCAAAACAAGAAATCACCTTATTAGCCATATTATCTGATCTGATACAACGAAATCACCATGATACAACGAAATCACCATGATACAACAAAAACATCATGATACAACGAAAGCACCATGCATTTCGTTGTATCAGATCAGATAATATGGCTAATAAGGTGATTTCTTGTTTTGCTAAATAATACAAGCTGATTTCGTTGTATCAGATCAGATAATATGGCTAATAACTTCTGCTGAAATTAGTTGTAGTGTGAGTTGGTGTAAAGAGTTTTTGACGTATAGGTTGTCTTGATCTTTTGTAATAGTCAACAGATGTAAACTTTGACTAAACATTTTTTGGTTGTAAGTATGGGGTTAACTTAGGATTCATCTGGGGTGGGATCTTTGTACTTGTTGATTCGTGAGACTTGTCCTCTTGATTATATCCAATATGATCAGATGACATAAAAAACTTCTGCTGAAATAATATAAGGTGATTTCGTTGTATCAGATGGGTGATGTTCTACTGTTATCTTTGTTTTGGTGATAGTCTTGTATTAATCTGTTTTAATATGTTTTCATTCAGCAATTAATGAAGTAATAGCTGAAACAGTGGATAACTGGCTCACTGCCGAACAGTGGAGAGTTCTCTTCCAAAATAGAAGGTATTTCGAGGAACATAATGCATTGCGAGTACCACCTAACACAGCTGGATTGTGGAGAGTTGACAGTGACAAAAATAAGGACATGAACCAATGAGTTGTTGCGAGCCACACAACAATGGTAGATGGCATTGACAATGAAGGGATACCAATTATGTTCAATGTAAGGCTTGGGGTAGAACATTTGCTCGCAAACGGCACTCGTCTCCGTAGGAAAATTGTGAGAAACAGAGAACTTTATGGTTTTTGTACCTTTGTTCACTATAGGTTTATCTGGTTTCGCGCTAAGTTTCGTTTGTCCGACGAAGATGGTCTTAAACTTTTTCAAGGAGAACAACGACGAGAAATAGTACTGTGTTCGTACCAGCTGCAATTGATTTGACAAGAGTGGCATAGAAAACTCTCATGAAGAATTTGAATGAAATCGTTGCTCCGATGATAAAAAATGTTCTCCCCGGTAAAGCCTGAGAAATTCGCCACGTATTATTAATTAAGTTTTCTCGACTCTAGGTTTGTTCGATTAAGGGTAATCAAATACTTGATATATGGAGATTATATTCGTAGTGTATGGTCCTTTGTACGAATGTTTGTGACAGGAATCTGTTGGCCGTTGTGACAAATAAGAATGCACTGGTAAAAACAAATCATGCTTGAGAAGTGTGGCCAATGGTTTGTTGATCTTACGCTATGAAGCTACATTATGTAAATCCGCTGGAAAAATTTAACTTCATCTCGAGCTGGTATTATCTAGAAACCTCTCTTCTATTATAACTCGATTTCTTGATTCTGTTATGTAAGTCATTTTAAACCTCCTTGTTGAAAGAATCTTAACGTGTCATGGGTTTGTACAATGGTTGTTTAAGAAATGAAATAAGGGATATGAGTACTCTTGATCGACATTGATTTCAATTCAAAATTCGTTCGGTCTAAAATAAAGATGCAACTGTTTCAATTTTGATGGACACACAAATCTCTTTACAGTTGATAGATCTTAGAAACAATAAACACATTTTATTTATATGCTTATATATATGCAAACTCACTTAATCAACATGCAATAGGATTATATCTTATTTTACTTCCTCTCAACCATGTTATGTGTACAGATTTTGATGCACATTTGAACGAGATCCCATTTTTAATAGAGAATGCAGACAAACGCCAACTATCATGTATGAACACAATCACAATTTATATGGTCTTTGCTTATAAATGGTCTTCAAAGTTGGGTTGCTTGTTTTCATTCCAATGGAATCAATTCGAACATTTAAGGACACAAGAGCTTCACTGTATTTTTGCTACCGCAGGGTCATGATCCAGAATAATAGAGTTGGTCTTGAGATAGCAAGTGGAAGCAGGAATTAGCGAAGCATGGGGGTCAGATATTCAAACATTGGTTTTGCACTTTCCTTTATCACGAGGATGAGAAAGAAACATTGGTTTAGAGTTAATTATTGTACTACTCAGCGCTGGCTGGTTTTCGTAAGGTTAAAGTAAGTTGGTTACCTACCATTTGCTTATGTTTGAAAATTTGGCTATCAAATATTTTAAATGCTTAAAATGATAATACTTCAGTTTGACTGTCTATAAATTTTAGGTGATTTTGACCACAAATATAGCAGAAACACTGACTATAATTCATGAAATAAGATACATGATAAACTTTATATTTGTTACGACATGAAATTATGATCCAAATCGTCCAATCAAAGGAATGGAGGCGCATACACAAAGAAGGTACCATGTTCAATATTCATTATTTTGTTCCATTCAAAGTCGTTTAATGGTTCACAATAGTTGGGAGTTTTACCTGCAAATTTATTTGTTTCTCTTTTCGCTTTTACTTTAGTAGACGTGTGCAGGATGTGAGGGTCATGCCTTCCAGTTCACAATACTTGCCTTCCAGTTCCATGATCTTTCGCATACATATTTCTGCTGAAAATTTTCTACAACTTTTGGTGAATATTACACAAAAAACTTCAACCACAATTTTTTCTCCTGGATCTAACACCATAAATTTACACACCACAATTTTTAGAATTTTAATCGACAAAAAAACCCGCGCGTAAGCGCGGATATTGGCCTAGTTTTATCTTATTAATATATTTTTTAGTTGAAGTTATAGAGGTTGTCATGTGTCACCTCTTAGATTTTAAAGTTTTTTCACTAAGTTTAATAACAAATTAGTGCAATTTAAACTTTTGTGAATTGAGAAAAACTCTTTTTATTTTTATTAATCCTTTCATACTGTAATCATGATAAAAAAAACATAATTCACTTCACCAATGAATCACTGT